AAAAAAAAAAAAAAAAAGACAGAAGAAACACAGAAAGACAAAAACAAGAAAAGAAAGAAAAAGAGAACAGACCAAAATACGAGTAGAACGTTGCTTATCTCTCGGGCTCCATCCGTGGCCCTCCGCCCTCCGCCCCGCCCCAGTGCATGGACTGATATACTTCATATCAAATCTGATTGTACTTTCATTGCCCTTTGTTGCGCCTGATTGTGCTGTCGATCAGAGTATCTGCCTCATCTTGAAACATTCGAGCATATGGCATGTTGTTCTATAGACACCAAGACACCAAATCAGGGCCTTCTGGACTGCAAAGTCTTCTATACTACAGACTCCACCAGCAACGAACAGTACCCACTTGGCCTTCATCTGGACACTTCCGGGGACGCTAAAGAACATGATATCTCAGTTCCAATCCCGAGCTTATGTCCGAGTCTCCAACAATGGACGATATTAGTGTACCTGCGTTTCGACGAGTCCCGACTCTCAGGAAAGGGTCGGGCAAGTACATTAGTTTTGGAGTCTAGCATATGAGAGACTCGGGCCGATGATTAGCTATGCCAGTGAACATGTACTCCGTACTCCGTAATGCGGATACTTAGGGCCGTGCGAGGTAGAGAGAAGGGCCTTCTAGACCCGAGAAGACACGGAAACCATGGCTGATTTGTGGATGAAATCCCCAGACGCACGACAGAGAGGGCAAAAGTAATCAGCTCTTAAGCAGACGGGAGTGGCGCATGAATCATGTCCGTAAATCGGTCATTAGCCGTACGGAGGTAATACTAGGTTAGGTATTTACGAGTTTAGACATTTAGACAACATATTCCTATTCGTATTCCTATTCCTAATCCTATTCCCACTTCTACTTATATTCTATTCCGATTTCTATCTCTATTTCCTTATACTCTGGAGACTTGAAGTAGTTTATATCAGCGGAAGTCCCGAGGCCCGTGTGTAGTCATCCGTTTCCGTCTCTTCCACACACTCGAACCTTGACCAATTCCTTTTCCTCCATCATCTCTCGCCTCATTCACGAGGCCCCTTCTATTCACTATTTATCCTCTGGGCATGAGCGTCTGGAGGGTCTAGCCCCCCCTCCACGACTCCTGTCTTTTCATGCTAAATCTGATATTATATCCTAACCCCGGTCGTTGGCTGACGCCAATCGTCTCGCTTGGCTGCATCCGATCAACTTCCGGCAAGGGTCTCGTTTACGGCGGGTACGGGGGAATTTCAATTCAACCCACCTCTTGACCACCCCCGCCGCTTTTATTCGAATCGTTTCCCCCCTCTCTTCCTCTCCATCGATTATGGAGGGGATACATGGTGGGCACGGAGGAGCCCGCCCATCCCAATCCATGGCTTTTCCTGGGTTCGAAGACTCCCACATGATGTCCGACGACTTCTCTTTCGACTCTCCCTTCAGCCCGTCCAACTCCTCCAATGTTAATGACGGTGTCCTCGGTGACTCCATCTTCCCCGAATGGACCAACGGCCGGGGCGACAGCCCCGATGAGATGCAAAGGAAAGATCCGCTCGCTGCTCAGATCTGGAAACTTTACACCCGCACGAAATCTCAATTACCCAACGCAGAGCGCATGGAGAATCTCACGTGGCGGATGATGGCCATGAATTTAAAGCGCAAGGAACGGGAGCAACTCGCTCGGTAAGCAATTCCTGCGAATCTCCGAAGACAGGGCTGACTCTTTTCCACACAGCGGGGAGATCAAGAGCCCAACACCGAGCGGCATCGCGCAGATGCGCTTGTCCGACCGAGCATCCACCGCTGACTCGAACCCTTCGCATGCGATGAAACACGATGCGACCCCAGATCCCATGAATCTGGATGACTTCATTATCCCCTTCGATTCTCCCGAACACTCCTCCCATCCGCCTGCCGATAGAAACTTTACTGCGACGCCCACAGGGATCCCTATCAAATCCCGCAAGGATCATGCCATGATGGACCCATCGGTCGCCGCCTCGTTCCCCCACCCTCCCCAGGAGCAGCGAACCAATTCCGAATTTGGATACGTCCCCCGCCGGGTCCGCAAGACAAGCGTCGACGAGCGCCAGTTCTTCGCTGGTTTGTCGGCACCGACCCGAAAGCGCCCCGCAGAAGCCTCCCCCCATGTTCCTCCGGTGTCCAATGCCATGATGTCGCAGCACTCGGAACTGTCAGCCGCGCTTCCCGACTACTCGCTCGATCAACCCTCGCCCTTTGCCGTTCCTAGCAACGGCACATTGGGCTCGCGCAGGCACCAGCATACGTCTTCTGGCCTGCCCTACGGCCTGGACACCTTTGGCATTGGCGAAGACCACGGCATCAATTCGGCCGGTCCCTATCAGCAGCACTTTACATTCTCGCCTTCAGAGTCCCCCATGACCTCAGGCAATCCATTTTCGAACCTGTATGCTCACACGCCACTCGCCTCGTCACTCAACTCGACCGAATTCTTCTCACCCCCGCCTTCTGGGTATCAGTCTGCCGTGTCAACCCCGCAGCCCATTTATGAAGGGGAGCAGTCGATGTTCTTCTCCGATGCGCCCTCGGCTGAATCTCACAACCAGCGCCGCATCCCCAACTACCTTCAGCAACGATCGTCCAACTTGTCGGCGTCGCTGCAGCCTCGCTATATGTACAATGTGTCCAGTGGCGAGTCGCAGCCAGGCAGTGGAGTCACTGGACCATCGGCTCCATCGCACGTGTCTGGATTCTCCGTGCCGCAACCGCAGCATGTCAACCCGTCCCAGGTGCTTGGTTCTGGTGAGTATTCTACGACCGCGCCCGCTAGCAGCATGTTCACTTTCGGTGGGGACTCGGACAACGAGGACGACGATGGTAACTTTGAACGAGGGGGTATCGCTATGCCCAATGACTTCGCCTCTATGGATGAGTCTGGCGATATGAACGGTGGTCTCCAATGGGATGGAGGATTCCCTGGATCAGTCCAGTCCCTGCCAGGCTTTAGTGCTCAGCACCGCAAGCATGTTACGATCGGCTCCACTGATATGATCGATGGACCTCCCGAGTGGCATCAGGGAAGCACCCTTGGCCGCGGGCACGGATCTGCCGCTTCGGTGAGCGATGTGCGCAACCGAGACCAGGATCCTCGTCGTTACGGCAAGGTCCCGCGGATCTCGTCGACTCCCAACGCTGCTGCACTGCTTCGTCAAAGCTTGAATGGCTCAAGCAGCGGTCCCCCGACAAACCACCCCTCTCCCAACACCCCTCCTGAGTCTGGCCTCAGCAGTGCTGTACCGTCGCGACCAGCCAGCCCCGGTGGGTCGAAGAACGGCGACCCGAATGCCGGACCGACCACCTGCACCAACTGTTTCACCCAGACCACCCCTCTCTGGAGACGCAACCCCGAGGGCCAGCCGCTTTGCAATGCCTGTGGCTTGTTCTTGAAACTTCACGGTGTCGTGCGGCCGCTCTCGCTAAAGACGGATGTTATCAAAAAGCGCAACCGTAGCAGTGCGAACACTCTTACTGTTGGCACTTCTCGGTCGTCCAAGAAGTCTTCACGCAAGAACTCAATCCAACATGCTCCGTCTTCGTCGATTACATCGCGCGTCAACACCTCCGAGTCGCCACCATCCATGTCCGGATCGAGCGGAATGGGGAAACCCGGTGTTGTGCCTATTGCCGCTGCTCCACCCAAGTCTGGCCCCATTGCTGGGGTGGCCCAAGCCCGTGCTGGCGTGCAGGTGGCTCCCAGACGGCAACGCCGACTCGAAAAGGCGCCGACCGGGTCAGAACCGGATGCAGAAGAAAGTCCAAAGTCGACTGCGCCTGCCAGCCGATCCAAGGTCGTGCCTTTGGCCCCTGCGATGGCCCCTGCTGCCGCCAACCCGGCCAACCACAGTATTGCTGGCGGGCAGGGTGCAAGCCAGGAGTGGGAGTGGCTGACAATGAGTCTGTAGTCGGTGCACTACCTTTCTTTTTCTTTGCTCCAATTCACCGGTGTGTGATGGGCCTGGCCCCCACTCCCTCAATCTCACGTATTACACGACTAATGTTCCCGGCGGTCGTCTTGCGTGGCTCTCTTTATACTCTCATGGCTTTCCTGATTATCCTATGCTACATGTCCTTTTTTGAATGATTTGATTGATACAATCGCGTCTGTCCGGAATCTGAGCTGCCTCTTCCTTTTCTGTCTTTTCTCCTTGTTTCCTTTTTACTAGTTTTGTCTTTTGGTTTTGTCATTTGCAGCTCGGAGCCGGCAGAAGTGCGCATCTCTCTCGTCCCTGTTTATTTGTTATTTATTTTTTGGTTTTATTGCGCTGCTGAGCAGGCTTTGATTAATGGGTCTTGATATTCTTTTGTGATAATTTTTTTTAGACCTGGACCTCAATATGATTATGATTTTATTCAATCTTCTTTCCTCGGTTCTTACAATGACCTCTAGTTTTCGGCACCAGTAAGGTAGTGAATTCTCTTAAGTCACACTTTGTTTGCCTTGATGATTACCAGGTGTCCAGGGACTTCCAGATTAGTCCCTCTATTCAATAGTATCGACCCTCAAGCTGATTCGATTAATCGGCACCGCGCGAGCCACACCCCCGAGAGCCTTCGCCACGGTTTCTTGTGCAGATTGTAGCAAAGTCTTGCTCTTGTCCATCCCAAGGTCAGGCACCTCTCTCACATTGTCATCCCGTAATTGCCATACACTGTCGGGTGTATCCGACATACGACGAGGTGTGGCCATTGCGTCTCCTGTGAACTGCAATGCGTTGAGCTAAATTCAAGACAAATCTTTCAATTTTGGTCACGCTGGGAGAAACATACCTGGTTGCAACTGGTTCGCGATTTTCTCGCATGCGTGGCTGGCAGACTCGTGGACGCGACCGGCGACTGTGTCTGTAGTATCTGTCTTTGTAGTGAGATGCTCGGAGGCTTCTGCTGTGTGTCAGTGGAATTTTGCCGAATAAATTGGAGCGTGGCTGACCATCTGTGCTTGCGATATCACCCTATAGACCATCAAATTGTTAGCCTTGCTACAACCCAAGCAAAAAGGAATACCTTACTGCCATTCCAGCCATAATAATCTTGGTGTAAATAGTTGATTCAATGCAGTACAAACTCACGGGCACCATCTGAGGTAACAAAAGAATTCATCAGGATGACGTGGAGTTCATACAGTCCCGGCCTTATTTCCGGCGAAGCTGAACCTGATGTCACTAGATGGCAAGTCTTTGATACTATAGCAGAAGTTGAGGGAAGAAAGATCGAGTAAAATCACCATCATACAGGAGCATATTATATACGGCAGGGGTATACATTACAATTGATGAAGTATTGGACTGTCTACACGAAACCAGCCTGGAAGCGAGTAACTTATAACGTTTCATACCTTGTTTTCGGCTTACTTTTGCTTCACCTCTTTTTGTCCATTTTTAATACCTCGAATTGTAGGGTAAAATTAGGGTGGTAACCATGTGGATCATATACAAGTTACAAGTTCAGACAGAGTACGGTATATATTCCTTAGCACTGATATACTAAAAGTTGAAGGCTCCAAACCACGGCCAGGGGGTTTGAATGGTTCATGCATTTTCAATAGATAACCTACCTTATTTTATAGTAAGATACCGCTAAAAGAACAATGACCGCTCGATATCATCCAGCAAATCAGCGGTCATCTCGTTAGGACAGGAACCGATTATTGCATTCGCTTGAACCAAAGCAGTTGAGACATCCTGGATGCTCTTCCTGAATTCAACCCCACAGAAAGACCGTGGCTTCTCAGTAACACGCCGACAACGCGGGCTCCGTGAAGACATTTCTAACCCGAGCTTCTCAATATATTGCAGCATTGGAGCGAGCTGAGCTAGAACTTCGATAAATGTTTCGCGTTGATACGCTTTCTCATATCTGATGTGGTCAGCACAGCACTGGAGAATCTCTTTAAATGTGGCGCAATAGGTGTCGTATGCTACTTGGCTTTGCGGGGGTGGAGGAGTAGGAGAAAGAGGGTTTGTGCAGATGCGAGTGCATGAGGAACACATGGTTTGGGAGGCAATGTGCTAGTAAAAAATACCCAATTGAAGCTTAAGAGGGTTTGATGACAATTGATCGTAGATTTAGGCTTCAGGAATGAGGAATGAGAATACTCATGATTTCAGTCACCTTTTATCTGTTCGAGCAGACAAAGAGTTTGTCTGAGAAGGCCACAGTAGACAAAAATACCCTTGGTCGACAAATAAACCGACAATGAGGACAGCATAGCACAAAGAGCTTTATCGTAAACATCCTGCATGGTGTAAGTACTCCAAGGCTTTCAGCAGTCTAACAATGTGTGCAACAATGAAGATATGCCACCAGATGTGGGATTGCCCCCAAGTACCAAATCTGCCAGGATACCAAGACTCGGGCACTTGTCTCTAAATATAATACAAACATCAGTTCACTCGCCAGGCGATTGCAGAACAAAGCCCTCATTTCATACAAGTAGCAACCTGCCAGCAGGAATGCCCCCCTCAAGCAGATAATATGGAACACCCACACCGACCAAGTGGAAAGTTCCCCAGAGATACCATGTGTGGCCTATGGGAGCTAAAGCAGACAGACCTGTACTGATGCAGCTAGCAAGTCGCAGGTTGCTCCATTCAGGAAACTGAAACCAAGGGCTGCGTAGAACGAGGCCAGTCAAGGCGCTAAAGGCAGCAATCTGTTTCCTGGTTAAACTGAATGATTCATATATCTTCCTTCTGGGCTTACCAATGACCAATACAGATTTCTGAGAGCGATGTCGCAGTAGAAACCGAAATGCAACCCACAGATGAAGTTCCAAGAATCCAACCAGGATTCCGACATAGTCCAGCTGGAGCATCATGTGGCAACTGGCTCAGGATGATTAAGGCCGGTATGGTAGAACGTTGAGACGAACAGACATAGAATAGCCGTAGTCATCTGCAGCGGAATCATAGTCCATCAATGCCGCGCAGATCCCAATAGACTGTAGCTAGGAGAATCAGCAATAGCCCAGGCACCAGGTGCGAGTATATATTGGCGCTCTCATTGTGGCAGTAGGCCCAGCTGGCGAGCCAGTAGACCCATGAGCGACGCTCCGGTCGATAACCGGATAGGATGAAGGGGCTGGTGTCAGCCCATGACTGAACTTGAGCGCGAGTCAGGAGCTGAATCTTTCCTTGGTCCCCATTGGGGGCAATCACCATCTGATAGAATTATTTAGATATAAAAATTTGGCAATGATATAAGGAGAGGGATGCGCAAGGGGAAGAGTTGGTTCCTTTCGGCTTCTTTCCACGTTGTTTCCATTGGCACGTTGGATCACAGTCGGAGTGTTGGCATCATATTTCCCCCATACAGCAGGCTTGTCGTCGTAGAACTTTATCTCTATGTATGTTATCTCGTACTTTTCTTCTATATAGCACCGACGATATAGAAAACTTGAAGGATGTATGATGGCTATCAATATACTTCACTTCCCCTTTAGGTAATATACTGCCTGGGGCATCAACTGATAAATCACGTGTGATAGCCGGAGCAAAAAAAGGATCCACGGCGTTCAACTTCACTCAACAGACACAGCCATGGGTTCCAGCGCCAAGAGAAAGAAGGAGAAACAGAAGGACTTCCAGGTGAGACCAGCAGGTCATTGATTCTATGGGCTTGCTAACCTCCGCAGAAACCCAAACTCAAGGTCGGCAAGACCAAAGCCAAGCCCGAAAACTACACAGACACAAGTTTCCGATCAAAGTGTATGTGGTACTACTTTCGACTGGAGTTCACTTTACTGACAACTAGCAGCAATTGTCCTCACTCAACAGTCTCTTCACCTTGCCGCCCCATCTTCAAATACCCAATTCACGCACAACCTCTCTCTCCTCTCCGCCAAATCCGACAGCCAGCGCCGTGACTCGCTCGCATATCTGACGACTACGATCGCCTCTCGGCCAGTGAATTCGCCGCTCCCACAACCAGTCAGCGTGATTCTACCCTCTCTGCTTCCCCTCATCCTGGATGGAACGACCAGTGTTCGGACGCAACTTCTGAAGCTCTTGAAGACCCTGCCACGGGGCGATGTGGAGGATCATGTCGCACAACTTCTCCCATATGTTCGCGCGGGTATGACCCATCTTGCCGCTGACATCCGTGTCTCCGCTGTGGAGATCTTGTCATGGCTAGTCGAAGCGGCCGGAGAACAAACAGTTTCCTGCGCCGGAGGCTGGATCAAGACACTCAATTGCTTCCTGTCTGTGCTAGGCTGGCATACAGAGGAGTCTTCACGTTGGTCATCGAACCGGGCTTCATTCGGAAAGTCTGGAAGCCAGGGTAGACCCATGGTCAAAGTGCTTGGGGCTCTGGCAGACTTTTTGGATGCGGGTATCGGAAAGCCTTTCACCGGCAATGCCGATAGTGACATCTCCGAGGATGATGAGAGCTCTGCATGGCCCTTTCCCCTTTGCCAGACAGCTCAGCACATGATCTCAGACTCGTCTGCTCCTTATGCGTATTTGAATCTGTTTGGACAGCCACGCGATGAGGAAGGGGAGATGTACGAGACTCGTGAGGATCGGTACCGTGTGTTCTCCGCCCGTTTCCATCCGGCAATGGAGCGTGGACTCAAGGGCGCCAGAGAGGAGGGTGGCGAAATGGGTCGTGCATCGACTAGCGTGTCCAAGGTATTGAAAGAAGCCATTGCATACGGACCGGGGCCATGAACTTTTCGACAGGATTTCATGTGGCAAAAAAAAAACAACTTTATCCACTAGAATGGTATGATTGAAGACCTCATTCGCTCAGACTTTGGCTGAGGGAACCGAGAGCTCTCGGGCTGGATCCGATTTGGCTCGACACCGCATGGTATTTCCCATTCTAGAGCGGGCCTTCGCAGCCACAATTAAAGCCCACGAAGCGCATCGGCGTATTCCGTCGCCATGGCCATTGGCTTTGTGATCCTCGAGGCTGCTTGGGCGACACATGCATATCAATAGTCTCATCGAAACTCCGATGAGACCGGATAGATCGGTCCGATTACCAGTGATACCATAAAAGCTTGATTTCATCGAAGCAAAATAAATGCAAATGATAACAATATATCGACGATACTCAAGTAGTTCTCGCGTTGAAGTATACAAAATGGAATTAATACGCCCAAGGCTATGCAGCCTTTTCCAAGTCCATTTTCTTCTCATGTGCGTCCGGGACTGCTTCTTTCCTATCTGAATCATCCGTCTCCAGCCCCTCCACCACCATGCCTCTCTCCTCGTAGATTTCGTCGGGTAAGATAGCGCGGTCAATCTGAGATTCGCGGGCAGGGAAAAGCCATGAGAGGCCTAAATAGACAATAGTTGTGGCAACAAAGCCCAATAACCATCCAAACTCATACGGATGTTCACCGACTCCAACGTCGATATGAGCATTGACGGCATTGATCAAACCCGGGATACTCGGCACAACGCCCACAAGGAAAGCCACCACAGCTCGCCAATTCACTCCAGAAATACTCTTACCGGCGAGACCGGGGATAGAGAAGGTATACCGATAAATCGGATTCCGAGGCTGGTATAAAGCAAGAGAATCGTATCGGCGGCGGTTGATAACCCAGAAATCGAATAGCATGATAGAAGCAATGGGGCCGAGGAAGATAGCATAGGCGGACATGAAAGTAAGGAAGTTTCCTGCGGACTCGAGGATCTTCCACGGGACAAGGCACCAGGACAGCAAGGCGCAGAGAATTTGCCCGCGTCGGATGTTGATATACTGTGGTGCTAGTGCGGTGAAGTCATTAGCAGCGGAAAGAGAGTTGGCAGAGATGTTGACTCCGAGGGATGCCAGTGCAAAAGAGAATGCACCGAAGAATCGACAGGCACGGTTAGGCCAGTAACTAATCAGTACTGTTGGATCCCAGGGAATAGAGTCGAGATTATAGTGGGATTGGCCCGCAGATGACGCAGCAATTCCGATGAAGGAGATGAAGGTGAAAACAATCGGTAGCATAGGGACATAGAGGAGTTGCCACCGGGGACTGACACGAGAATAGCGAGAGAAGTCAGACTATAGAGACCGTTAGTCGGTTTATCGTTGCAGCATATGATTAGAACTCACCTGGTTGACACTCAGGGTGGCATAGTTCCCCAAAACCGAGGTCATATTGGCCAAGAACAGCCAGCTATACTTTGACCCAGAGACAGACGCGCTCTGCTTGGCAAAGATGCCACCACCGCCCTTTTCAGCGACAAAGGCCCAGATCAAAATGGTAATCCAGGCGATGGGAACGAGCACCGACTTGATAGTAAACAGCCAGCGCAACTTGTTTGGATGCATGCACAGGAATGGAACCTGGATCAGCCAAAAGATGAATAATGCAACCATGCCGTTGGTGGTAATACCCTGAGACGCTGGGATGTCGTTTGGAAGATCCAAGTAACTCGGCCAGATGGCACCGATCATCACCCGAACAGCATTCCCACCATTGACATTCTGGATGGCAAACCAGAAGATAGCAAGGATAACACGTGAAATGATCGCAATATATGAGCCCCAAAAGCCCCAGCTGGCACGAGCAATGACCGGGAACGGCACATGGTAGATCGCGCCTACAGCACCGTTGGCAGCAATAACGAACGACATAATAAAGAAGGACAAGGCGACAATGCCCAGAGCTTCACGGTAGGTCAGACCGACGGCGATAATACTACTAGCAAATTGCCATGTCGCCGCGTTAAAAGCGTCCGAAATCCAATATGCTACATGTAATACGTTATTAGCCTTGACCTCGGTATTCTCCAAGGGAGTGAGTACCTATAAGACTGGAGACTCCCCATTTGCGCCGATCTCTGGGAATTGGATCCAGATCACGATTTGTCCATCGAGCATTGCCCATTGCAAAGGCAGATTCGGTCTGCGACACCCGCAGATGGGGTCTCGAGAGGCGCATGTTGAACTTCATGTGGGCCTATAGATCTGGAGGGAATAAGAGCCAACACCGATCTAGATCTGAGACATATGGTGTAAGGATCAAAAGCAAAGAAGAAGACATGTTCCTTTTATCCCTGCGAACCCCGGACAGCCCCGAGAAGTGGCAGAAGTACTGTCGATAAGCATGATAAGCTTAATGATAAGACCGGCGAATGAGATGAGGCTAAAGTGGCAGTTCGTATATCTGCGCTTAGGCCCTTAGTATATTCTAGTATATCATGCTATTATCGTGATATATTATAGTGATACTTGATATAAAGTTCATGTTCTCAACCTTGGAAGTACAGTCAATTATCATCAATCATTGCCTACCTCAGTGCTTCTCTCCCGGCAGTCGCACATCTTGCCATCCTCGACCGTCACCTACACCCTCTACGCTTCCGTGTGGTCGGATCCCTTTCCACTCCGTGACGTTCATCCACCCAATCTGCTGCACGTCCCCGAATCCACCAATCCAGTATACGTGGGTCACCACCAAGCGCGCCCAGAAACTCGCGTGAGGAGAGTAGGAAGCGCCAGGGAGCCAGACCTTAGCATCGGGATGGGACTCCAGGAAACATTTTTCAAGGGCTGCCGCTGCATCATCGGGAAGGGGGGCCGGGAGGGTATCCAGGTACCCAAAGAGGGTAACGCGAGGCAGAGCAGCCGGACTCAAGGGAAGACCAGGATAAACTGGGCCTGCCTCGTCAAGATGATCCCACCAGTCCAGCTGGAGACTGAGATTCGACCCCGCAGCGATGTTCTTGAATGTGGTGCCAATACGAAGCCCAAGGACTGTCGGATCGCCGTTGTCGTCGTGCGACATATCAGAGGGCAGAGAGCCCTCACAGTCGGCGATATATTCGCGAAGCCCGATAGAAAGACCAGCAAGGTCGGAGGGGGCATGTGCGGAGGGTGGGATCGAGTGGGGGAAGTTGGTGGTAATAACGCCGGAAGGGGCCAACGCAAGAAGGCGGCGGGCCATCAAAGTCGAGGTGAACCATGATGGGCGGGTGAGAACGCCTTCATCTTCGGTAGACACGGCACCATGGCTGGGACTTGAGCTACCTTCTTGTCCCAGGAAAGCCTGGAGGGTATCCGAGGTGGGGAGGACAAAGCCGTTGACCGTGAGGGGTGAAATGAGGGCGAGAACGCCGGTGAGGAACGCGGCTGGACTAAAGACCATCATGACAGATATTCACGTCCAGGTAGATAAGTGAGCATCGAAGCAGAGATCACAGAAAGGAAAAGAGGAGACTGCAAAAGGGAACGGAAAGTGCGGAGACGAGCGGAGAAATATCAGCTGATGCGATCTTATCTGATCGGATCACCTGATCCGGAACTATACGGTCGGCCAAAGGATCATATGTTAGTATGAGTCGATCTGGCAGTTTGCAACCTGTCTATTAGGTAGGTTGCATATACATGTAGAAGGCCCACGATCATATGGCGTTGAGTTCCCCTACATACCACTCCGATGTCACCCGAGGCCTCGAGATGAAATTTTGGGGCGTCAACTGATCCCCGCGTCACACCATTATTATCATTTTGGACAGTAGCGCGGCTGTAGCCCTCATATTTTCTCATATTTTCTAGCATATTAGTAGCATGTGCTGTAATCATCTTGTATACGAGACAAAATCACTGGAGGTTCAAGCACTTCCCGTATTTAAAAAAACAAGCTCTTTGGTTGCAGGATGGACGCCTGAAAGGTAAAGTCCATAGCATCAAGTATGGATTTATGATCAAGACGTTCCCTAATAAGTGTTGTTCTGGAGTTTCCCAGCTAAAAGTAGAGTGGCTTGGCAGTTTGATAGAAAACCCAGCTTTCAAACATCCACATGTTCGTATTCATAGCAGTTAACTTATCAAGAGATTTTGCGTGTACCAAGGCCTTGAATACCTTTCACTGATCCGACTTAACATAGATATACTATATTTAGGGCTGTTAAACTCAGCCAAATCCTGCTCAAAATAGCATGGTAGATCTATACACACATATAAGCAATCTCCGAACAGTGTAATCGCGCAAATACGAACCTTAAATCATACAAAGCCAAGCATGTCATACTTGAAACTCATGGCTTATGTCCAGTTCTATAGATAGCCTCTAGGGCTGTCGACAAAGGGCTGAGTCATGCTTCGCCACAGCCTCCGGACTTGGAAGTGGAGAAGGTCCGAATGAGTCATTCAGTTCCAGGTATGTGCGGTCAGACTGCATGGCTGCCTACTGGAGTCTAAGGTGGCACCGATATCGCTGATTGAAGCTGTATTGATTTGGCTATCCTATCCGAGGGCAAAGACCCCCGGGGGTGGCATGCATACCAACCCCCTAGATGGAGAGTTATACAGCAGGGGAGACGCCCGCTCCCAGAAAAGCATAATAAAGACCATAACCATCCCAAGCCGACCACACTCCGTACGCAACCTCGTATAATAGAAAATAGGGTAAAAAGTGAGAGAACAGATGCACGATGCAAGTAAAGACGCGCCAGTCATCACCTCATCGTACACTTGGCGTGGGAATCAAACACCCAAGCCCTGCGACCGAGTGCCCAAGAAAATAGGGGTATGTACAGGAACAATCGGATCGCTTCGCTGGAAACCAAAAAAACGACGGACTTTTCTTTTTTGTTTGACCTCGCACAAAGGAAATAGAAAAGACAAAGATCCGCTAAAATATTGCAAGTCAATTCAAGAACTCAGCAACGCGTAAGGTCGGGTTCATAGCGACCTTGCGTGCTTCACTGCCGCAGCAGGCACGTTTCATGCCGACTGGTCCTGAGACGGGACCAGTTCGCTGGGAGATAGAATTATTCTCATGTTGCATCATAAACGAGTGCGGTAGCTGACCATCGGGCACCACGGTGTGTTCACCGGAGGCACTGAGATTCATCAGGTGGCGCACATGGTTCTGAAGCAGTTGATCATCAGATCCAGTGCGTCCACGTTTCCGGCACTGGCGCCGCTCTGGCGTAGCACCGGAAAGTTCGCAGAGACTCTGAGCGGCTTCATTCAGACTGGGATCCAGGGAGAATGCAGACAGGTCGGGGACTGAGGAACCCATAGAACTGGGGTATTCAGGAGAGCTGTAGACACCGACTCGAGAAGCCTCATCGATTGGTGAGGCGATAGCCAAGGTCTTCCGGGACTCCTTCAGGGAGTTGCTGGTGCAGCGCAAGGTAGCCTTGACGGCCAGACGAGCTGGTGCAGACCCGCAGGTTCCCGAGGCATTGGACGAAACCGACGACGAGCGCGATGAGCGGGACGACAGGGTTGACACATCCGACACCATAGATTCGGGAGATGAAGCCGAAGAGGTCGAGCGAGCCAAAGATGACCGGCGAACCGTAGCCGGGTAACCATCGAACGACTGAGACCGAGGGCAGAATGACAGAGGGGGGCGCTGATCGAGAGTCGATCGCGCCATGCACGCATTCTGCGCCTGGTACATAGCCGAACTGATAGCTGAGCGACTAGAGTAGGCAGCCGCACTCGCAGCGGGAGTGGAGGCCACCTGAGATTGAGGAGTCATCTGAGGCGTAGGAAGCATGGAAGGACGCGGGACCCCGGGCAGAGCCAGGCTCGGAAGCTCCATGCGCGGAGTCGGCTCCAGTGTCCGGGGAAGATCCCGTGGGCAGGAAGTCCGCTCGCGAGAGAGATACTCGTTGCTCGGCATACTGCGAGGTGAGGGAGACTCGGACAATCCAAGATCCATCCCCATAGCAGGGACCGGGGTCATCGGCTCTGACTCTACAGAGTCCAGTTCAGGAGTGAGTCTGGGTAGGACCGTCTGCCAACACTGACCTTCAGCAACCGGAGGACCACCGGCACCAGGAGTCAACTTCAAGACCAGATCGGTCCAGCGCTGGAAAGTCGCTTCGTCGATATGCAGGCGCCATCCGACGGCCTTGAGGAACATCAGTTCATTCTGGTTGATCTCCAGAGTGTTGAGACCAGAAATCTTGCTCCAGGCACGAGCGGAATAATTGCGGTCCTGCAGATACTTGGAAGCGAGAATCAGCGCCGCCAGGAACATCCGACGCCCACACTGCATGGCCCGCAAGAGCGACTGATCCCGAGGTTGCTCCTTGGTAAAGTCATGAGTGGGCACGTGGGGCTTAACCTTAATCAAATAATACAACGCCACCTGCAGGGTACTATAGCTAGTACGCGAGCGTCGGAGTGTTTCTTGGATGAAGATGCGGAGGGGAAGAACGCCTTTAGATCCAGTCGCAGCATCACTGCGGGATGCTGCGGCGGACAGAGGCCAGATAGTCTCTACGATCTGGGACGCGGTATCTTGTAAATGTTTTAGCTGAGCGTCCGAGACCTTGTCTTGTGTTCAAGACTTACCGACGAGATTATCGACAAAGTTCACCTTCCGCTCGGACTGGCGGAGCAGACAGGGCGGAGGCCGCGCGCTGGGAGCGCTAGAGGCATAACTGTTAGTGCGTCGAGGATGCGTTCGCAACTCGGACGGCACCACACCATCCCCCTTGGGGGCAGATCCTTTGCAAGGCCGGGAGCAAAATCCGGTACTTCTTTGACTGTTTCCTTCATTGTCCCACACATCAACGGGGTTGGTGGAGGTCGACGAGATGGAGGAGACGCAGTCGAGGGAGAAGACGGAGGAGGAAGAGGAAGACGCGGAGGAGATCGAGGAGTAAGGGTGAGCGTGGTGAGACGCTGTCAATTGAGAACCTGAGTTTGAAGCGTTCAAACCCAAGACGTCCATCCCTGACATATCCGGGTTCATTTCGGATAGGGCGAGATGGTCCGATTTGTACCGTGTGAAGAAACCGTTAAGCAGGAAACCGGGAACGAGGGCCGAGGAGACAAAGCCGTCTTTTGCGACGTAGGCGACGGCAGACCTTTAGTAGAGAAGCGCCAGGTTGGACACTGGACGTACTCGGAGGAATAAGCGGAACCACCGGGTAGAAGTGGCGGAGAGTAATAAGTCAACTAAGTAAAGAGAAGACGAAGGACAAAGCAAGACAAGACCAGACAAGACAATAAACAAGAAATAGAAGAAGGTATTCACGATCCGATCACCAAGTGCTATATTACGTGGCGAGTGACTCTTTTTTTTTCGATGATTCAGAAGCCAGAGGCGAGGTCGGTAACAGCAGAGGCGATCGGGTCGGAAGAGGCAATAGGGTACATTTTGAAGAGAAAGTAACTGGCAAAGAACTGGGCACTCAACGGAGCATGAACAGGCAGAACCACGCTGGTGGCTGCTTGTTACAGGCAGGCGTTGAAGTGACTAGGCAGAGAGGGAGCGGAGAGAGAGAGAGAGAGAGAGAGTCGGGAGGCTAGAGGTGGAGGGGGAGAAAGAGTCAGTGGGGGGGGAGTCACACAAAGAGAGTTGGAGATGGAAGAGGAAGAGACTATTTAGGCTCACCTTATGACTCTTTAGACTCTTTACAGAATCTGTTGTGACTAAGAGGGGGGCAAAAAGGGAGAGAAGTTGTGGCGAGAGAACTGGGTGGCGGGAAGGGGGCGCAGGGACCACTCGGATGGGGATATACTTGGATATACTTAGAGTAGTATAGAATGATCTCTATCGAGAATATAGAATATAAGAATATATATTAAAGAATATAGTATAGAATATTCTCTGCACTCTGTACTCTATAGAGAATGACTTAAGGTGACTCCCGGTGAGAGAGGGAAAACCCGGATGCGGCGAGAACGGGTCCGAGATAGGAGTGACTCAATATCACTGTAGAAACTATAGAATAATGAGAGATTACTTTACATACTAGACATGTAGATATGATATTGGCTATTCGCTACTGAACTGAATATTCAATATAATATTAACTTAGGTGTACACCACTTTCTCTGCCTAGAATGACCCATGTCTGTGTAGCCCAACCAAAATGAACTTACTTAAAATCCAACTGAGTCATAAAGGCGCTTGCCACGTCGTCCAATCCACGCGCTGTGGCTCCACCGGTCCCCCGATTACCTCAAGCCCTATTGGCCACGACTCCGATCGGCGCTGTAGTCTCTCAGGGCTGGGGAATTTTGGACTCAGATGACCTCACAAGATTAGGCGGAAATGAAAAGAAGTACAGGTATTTTCTAGAAATATCGGCTTTATATAGTTAGTGGGGGTTAGACTTCCAAGGGCGTATGTAACTATACTTCCATACTTCCACGCGACGAAAGAAGTTCACGCACAAACAAGTTAAATTAGTATAGAGCATCATGGATAAGTTACTCCGTACACTACATGTATCTACACTTCCTCTCGTAGCAGTGCTACCAGCCCCTGCACCTCGGCCTCTGTCCCGGTCAGCATAACCGAACGAATATTGAAGGGGCCACTCACCAGTGTTGTAATGCAGCAGGCTGACCCGCACCACCCCATCCTCCACATCCGGCAGCCCGCATACCTCGGCCAGCAACCGGTGGCTGTACATATGACCACTGCGGAATCCAAACGCCGACCGGCGCTCAACTGCTTCTACCAGCTGTTGGCTGCCCACACCCTGTACGACAAAACTGATGACAGGTACACGGAGCTCCTTGCGTGCCGACGGTTCCCCAATAATAGTAATACGGCTATCGGCAGCCAAGAACTCAAGGAGGATCTGCTGCAGCCGCTCTTCGTGCTCCGCCATCTGGGCCCAGCGTGTGCTAGGCTCGGAGCCAAAGTACTCCACCACGCGGGGAATACTCTGAGTGAGCTCGTAATTTGCGGACGCAAGGTTAAGCTTCAAATCCAGTGTGTTGGTGGCCTTGAAGAAATGGCCCAGCGACTGGATCTGGTCATGGATGCGTGATGAGGCATATAGTTGTGCCAGGTGTGGCCCATACACCTTGTACCAGGAGAAGGCCTGAACAGATCAGCGAACCAGTTGATCATGATTGTGGTTGGGCACTTACGTAGAAGTCCACATCCAAAGCCTTCACATCAACTTGGCGATGGGGTGCCAAAGCCACTCCATCCACACATAGCAGTGCCTATTCACTTGATTAGACATTGGTAGACAAGTATAAGTTGTAGAATATATGGGGTACTCACACGAGGATATGCATGGACCGTGTCTGCAATCTCTCGGACCGGGCTGATGGTGCCGGTGATATTAGATGTGTGCGGGCATGACACAAGCCGAGTCTTATTGGTGAGCAAAGTCTTCAACTCAGCCGGGTCACAGACGGGGTTCTTTGGATCAGAAGCTGCCCACCACTTCACCGTCAAGCCCAACCGCTCTGCGACCTGGACCCACGGGGCGATGTTGGCCTCATGGTTGAGTTTGGACAGGATGAGCTCGTCACCAGGCTGGAATGTGAGAGCTATAGAGATGTTGTGCAGTAGCTGGGTGGTTGAGACACCAATACTGATCTGTTTAAACTGTTCTTATCTTTGTTCTTCGGGAATATATATTGTTAGGTCGTGGTGGAGATATACCTCTTCAGTTGCCGCATTGATGAATCCAGCAGCCACCTTGTATGCGTTCGAGTATGCATTTGTTGAAGACTTGGAGACTCCATAGGTGGCACCAAGCTGGACATTCGTGTTCAAAAGGTATGAACGGATGCTTTCCGTATGGCCGAGTTAGTACTCCGTATACATTAACGTTAACTTAGTCCAGAGTAGCCTTACGAGTCCGCCACGGTATCGAGAACCTGACTTCCACCTGTTCCCAAATACGGTATTAGCTTTAATCATAACTCTCGTGTATTTGTGATAGACCGAAACTCCATATCAGTGCAACGAACCTGCATTGTCCATAAACACCTGTTCCTGCTGCAACGCAGGGAAGCGAGCGCGAGCTGCTGTTACATCCAGAGAGGCCATGTTGAAAATCAGTAGATTTGAGTATAATCATACGAATAGATGCAGTATCACCTTGGGTAGAATTGGCGAAGTGTACATATACTTGACATTGGCCTTGGCCGCTGAGGGGTAACCCAGTGGAGTTGATAGCGGATTTTACTCCGATTCCTTGCTTGACATAACTTACGGAGTACAGTACATGTACTTCGGTTCGCTCCTTGGCCCTGGACATGTCAACTACGATATAATTGTTATAATGGCACCAAAACAGCTTCTCTCCTATACAGTGAACAGAAAGCCCTACAAATCAACAGAGCATAGTAAGACGAGTATCAAATGCGATGATTCTGCTTCCATCGGGTATATGTATGAAATCCAAAGCCACCAAACCCCCGTAAAGGCACAAGAGAAAGCCGAAAGACAACAGAAAGTAAACCTATTCACACAAAGCAACCAATCCGTTACCGAGAGCGTGTACTTGTCGCCCCGGGCCCAGGAGCAGCATCATGTACAACACACAGCAGATACTTCCGGTCCGGCACGACAACAATCTCATGTTTTCGTGTGCGCATCCGAAGTAGCTTTACCTCATCATCCTCTTCCCGATCACCAGCATCCCCATCCCGATCATCCTCGCGCGATGTGCCCTTTCCAATCCCATAGTCCTGGCCGACCTCCCTTGTAGGAGGAACCTCGTCGATAGTAGGTCGCGAGAGCGAAACACCTAGCGCAGAAGCACTGGACACAAAGGCGAAGATATGAGCAGCGAGCGCCTCGGTTTGAGAGGGCTGGTATGACTGTGAGGAGGCGGCAAGAGCGGGTGAGGCCGGGGATGAGTCGGCGGATTGAGCGGAGAGAGGGTTCGATTCGGAGGTAGAAGGGATTTGAGCGGTGCGAGAGGATCCATTTTCTTCAGAGGTTGGCACTGCTAGCTGTCCTGTGCTTTGGATGATGGAGCCGTCTTTGCGGGAGAGGATCAGGGTCGATTGCACGCCCGGGCGGGAGGTGAGGTGGGAGAGCAGCGCGGTGACATGTTGAGGGACCTGCTGGGTACGCTGTTGAGATTGTTAGCTAGGGACTATTCGAGAGGAGCTGGGACTTACAGTCGCGTTCGCCATGGTTGGAGTTCGGGAAACGTGAGGAGCTTTGGTATGTGTGGAAGGTTGCGGGGGTGGATTAGACAGGTGAGCAGCTTATAGCCCTGTGACTTCTGTTTCCAGTCGAGTTTGCTTCAGAATTGAAGCAGGGATTCACTGTTCATCTGTTCACAATTCACCACTGGAGCACTTTGCCCAAACAAATGACTAAGCAGGGTGTTTGCCCTGTGAATCTATAGCTTCATCTACATTCTGTCCTGAAACCAACTTCTGGAACTTTGGATAGTAATTGAATCATGCTTTGTGATCCTATTAATGAAAGCTCCTATTTATATTGTTTACGTAGCAAGATTGGCAAGAATTAGTTGACTTATACTCAATTGCATTAACATATATTGCATCATATTTACCGGAAACTCGCTGATATACAAATCAAAGGGAAACAAAATGGTATCATCGAGAATATAGCCAAAGAGAAAGCACTGGCATATGTAGAAAGAAAATCAAATGACCGTAATCAAAGAGAATGGGTAATATCGTTCAGAAATAGAAAACATAAGGAAATGTAAAGATCGTTATTTATCGTTTGCGTGAAATGCGAGCACCACTGAAGCTAGACTTGTCCGACATCCAGCCAGACTCGATATCTTCAATCATGTTGTCTAGTTGCTTGACATTCGGACGGCCTTCTCGGTACGAGCTCGAGGTATCAAAACCACTGTGCTCGCTGCTCCGAGAGGAACTGATCCAACTCTCGGGGCGTGAGATGTGGCGGGGAGGGTAATGGCTCGCGAAGGGCCCGGATGGGAATGGTGGCATCATGGTCGGATCGAGGCTCAGACTCTCTAGAGGATTCTTGTTTCCAACATTGAGTGCTGCCATGAGAGCAGCCTGGAGGATCTGGTTCTGACGCTCCAGATTGGCAACTCGGTCTTCGAGGTAATGATCCATCGGAGGGGCCTGGGGCCGGTGGCTACTCTGAGACGCTCTAAACCGGTGCGGCGACATGGAGCATTGCGACTGAGGGGATGTAGTCTTCTCAAGATTAGGATTGCTGCGACTTTGAGGAATCACATGGTGAGCCGAATGAGAATAGTGAGAACGACTGTGGCTAGACATTTGGTGTGTATCCATAGTTCGTCCTCGGTGGGTTGGCTGGGCGGCTTTCTGTTTATCGGCTTGACGGCGAGATACTTCGACACCCGCACTGGGGCCGAAGACCTCATCATCCGACGAGGGCAGTGGAGACTCAGGGCGACTCTCGGGGCGACTTTCTTGGTATGAGTCGGGGAAGCTCTCACGGCGGAGACTGCTCCGTGAACTGTCGCTTTGAGAGATGACTGAGTGGCGGTAAGAACTAGGTGGAGGGGGTGCCTCCATGCTTCTCACAGAGTGAAGCATAGCCGCCTTAGGGGCTGTGTAGTTGCGCTGGCCCGCTGCGCGGCCAGGAGGAGGGGGAGGCGGATGTGAAGGAGGAGGAGCTGATGGGAGAGAAGCAGTAGGGGGAGGTGATGGCAAACCGAAAGGAAGATTTTTTTGGCCAACTTGAGAGTTGATCTGTAATCCGTTCAGGATGATACGTTTACCCTGAGGCTCTGTGGGAGTCGAGTGTCCCAAGATAGGAGAGTCGGCCAACGGCTGGCCCTTATCATCATCTGCACTGGAACGGCTTTCGGGCAAATCTTGCATGCGAGGGATGCGGATGCTTGAAGCACGTCTTCGAGCGGTGTACTGAGTGGGTGACATACACTTGGAGGAGCCTGAGATCGACGGGGTAGAGATGCTCTCCTCGTCATCAGCGATCGAACCTCCAGCGTCGACATTACCCAAAGCGGTTGCAGGGCGTGATTCGAGGATTTGAGGGCTATCGACAGCGGACTCAGCCTCTGGATCCTCGGGCACGGCTTTCGAGGAAGATTGTGGAGCCAAAGACATTGCTCCCGAGCGAGCCGGACGAATGCTCAAGCGAGCGTTTGTCTGAGGAGGAGCGCTGGGGGCACGCTCAGCCTCGGGCAACGATGGAAGTGGCCTGGTAGGCGCCGGAAGAGGGAATGCCTTGAGCGTGCCCATGGATAATGACACTGGTCGAGCCTTGACCTGATCCTGCGTGGTTAACTCCTTAGGTGCTTGGGCTTTCTCGATAGATGTCTTTGCCTCAGAGACCAACTGGGGTGCCGGTGCAAGGGCGCCTGTGCACGGCGGTTCTGCCACCTTGGTCGGGGTCTCCTTGATAACATCTGATGACTTTCGGGACTCATCACTGAGATTGGCTGTACTGCTAGACGGTTCGATCTGTGAACTGAGCGAAGAACTTGACACGGTGTTGGTGAGCGTTTGATACCGTGGCACAGCGGAGGTTCTCCACGCAGTGATGCTGGACTTGCGAGGTGGTGCAACATCAGGGAAGAGCTTCAGAGTCGGGGTCGAGGTACGACGAGACAGATCAGACAAGTCAGACTGCTTCACCGCGGGACAGCGCCTCTGGCTATCAGTGGAGGGCGGGGGTGACTCTGTTCCCGCTACACTCGCGGGTGCATTGCTTGGTGTATTGCTCGTGACTCGCGAAAGGGATTCTGTATTTTGCGAGTTCATTCGAGCACTGGAACCCGCAGAGCTGGGTGGTCGGTTGACTTGCTCATCGATCGATGGGTTCCTGCGGCTGTGGTTCGTGGAAGCGAGTGAAGAAGCTGATCTAATGATGGATTGGGGGCCTTGGTCCACAGAGCTCGAGGCTGGCACTGCTGAGGACTGAGAAGAGATATTCTCAGATGGTTGGTATGGTGGCGGCACCGAATCGTCGAATTCCGAAGAAAGCGAGACAGCGACATCAACCATTGAGCCAAAGTCATCAAGATCCAGAGAGGCCAGGCGACGTCGTACTTCGGTCGGTTGCTTGCCTCCATCGGCTTTGGCTTGTAGCCATGGCTGGCCAATGTTTTCCACGTCTTTCTTGGATTTGGAAAGAGATCGGGAGAGACTGTCCTTGGAATTTCTAGGCTCCTTTGGTCCTTTGAGATCTTTCGGTAGAGGAGCCGGGATGAGATATCCTTCCCTCATCAGCGCATCAATCTGGCGTTGTTTCTCCTCTTGCTTTGATCGGGGCGGTGACTCTTTCTTCTGTCGCTGAGCAAACTGGAGGAGGCGACGATGGAATGGCTTCAGTTCCTGCTTCGGATCCGATTTATATTCCTTGGGTTCTACCGCAACCGGCAGCGCAGTGGTCGTATCCGAAGGACTTGAAGGCTGAGCTGGGGTTGGTGGCGGAGGTTGGGATGGAGTAGAAGGTTGCGCAGGCATGTTCTGGGTTTGAAAGAAACGAACGAGGTCCACCAGACTTTCATTTCGGCCAGGTCGTTCAGCTGTGCCGGCAGAGCGAGCTTCAGGACGTGGACCATCTCCACCTCGGGGTCTAGAGGGCACAGGCCCAGGTGTTGGCGATACCATGTTGGATATTCTGCGTTTGGATGGCAGAGGATCGGGTCGATACGTCCGGACAATTGGGCTTGGTGCGACGGCACAGTCATGCGAAGATTCCCGATGCATAGAGAGACGGTGCATCAAATACTGGCTGCTTTTCAATGCGAATGCTCGCGGATGTCGACATCAGGGTCCCAACGGGTCCAACGGCGACAACAGTGCTATCCTTGCAAGGTCAGAACCAGGGTGATGCCTCGACTGTGAGACATGCTCACCTGTAGGAAAATGAATAGGAGCCCGTTGAGGTTAAATAACAGAGGCGAATATGATCTATCTCAAGATGACATGAGTATATACAGGGTGCGCCACTATAGAGCAGATCGAGAGTGGCGTCAGAGGATCAATGAGAGCGTAAAAACAAGCGAACAGAAGTTGAACCTGAGACGAGGCAACCGGCAGGGAGAAGAGTTTAATAGAAAGATCCCCAGATGAGCTGTCGCACCCTTGCTTGACCGGGGAGACCTAGACGATCACGATGCAGGAGTCCCGCCCTCGGAATCTGGAAAGGCACAGTAGTTGAGGTTAAAGTGGAACCCGACAAAGAGGTTCTGCATATCATCAGGGATTCCTTCAAAGGGATTCGCCGATGCAAGGTGTGGACCCCCAATCCTGATCAAACACGCCTAGAGGGAGTTCGATATGACACAGCGCTGCACATCGGTGTTTGTGCCCTCCATTGTGCCCATTGTTGCAGGGCCATACCTGGCCGATAGGCCAATTGACAATTGAACTGAATCCATTTTCAACCATTGCACATTTGCTTTTCCCCTCTCCTTCTTTTGCCCTTCAATATGGGGAGGTAAGGGGTCGAGTACCGACAGGAGGAGGGGGGGAGGAAAACGTCAGTGATGTGAGGTATCAAAGTGACTGTAGGATCCGAGTTCACGAGAGTTCAGATCGGACTCAGGGATCTTCTAGGCGGCAGTCGATCATGGCAAACACAGAAGTACTGTACAGACAGAGGTGGAGTTGGAGGGGGAAGTAGACGAGAAGTGACAGCTCACACGCACAGATCCCTGAACTATCGAACACATTCTACTTATACATGCAGCTATGTAAATTGCTAATTAAATAGCCATTTGATGGCTATATTCAGTGGTTAACTGCAATATACAGTACTTGAATACAACATACAACATTTAGAATCCTCGTTGTCACCCTCATATCGGCAATATAGGACAGCTGGACTATCAAGGGCAAACTCAACCCCCTGGATCTTTAGCTTCAATTTTGAATAGCCAATATTCCATGGTAAAGTTTGCCTAGATCCACTATGAATCATCAATTATTGTGGTCTATCACTTCCACTTCTCCCCTTGCTGGAGTCCATTCTATTTTGGTTAATTCTCCGATCCAAACGCTTTTCTGCACATCTGCATTATCTAGAGTTTCATTAAACTTCTATACATGTAGATATACATGTTCATCCGCAGATCTCCTATTGTGAAAACACAGGACCCCCGCGAGTGCACACGTCTACCTTATACTCCCTTTGTCTCAAACAGCCACACAAACGGAGAATATCCACATGGTCACTTGAAGCGAATGGCTGCCTGGCACATATCATAGCAAACCTGTCCAGAAAGCCACACTTAGTCTATGGCCCGGAATCAATCCGACCAGACCATGTATAACATCTAACATGTCATCCCCACCAGCTCCGCTGTCAGACATCTAGAATCTACGGGAACCTGATCCGGCAACATGGCCAAGACTCGTATTGACACTGGCTAGTCAAAATTTACATATAGCTATGGCGTCTGTGGCTCTGCCATCGCTGGTGAAATGAAGATGCAGTACAGAAACAAAAGACCTCGCTGACGCCGTGTAATGCTCGAAGATTTTCAACTCGGATTCATCACGAGCTGAGTCTATGTGGAAACAATGTCCCGAAGATTCCCTTGGATCAATTTCTGTTTCTTTGTGATTCGGAGAGTCCGCGATGGGACACAGAAGGATCCAAATTTGGGTTGTAGGTCAGGATGTACGCTCACTTGCGTTTGGGGCGGATAAATGGGTCCGTTTCCTTTTTTTTCCGCATGGGGGGCCGAGGCTTAGGACCCGGATTAGAACCCTAAATGTAGTTTAGTATGATTGATCAGAAAAGTCAGATAAATGACTTACCTCTGCTCTGGGTCCTGTTGGCGGGGCTCTCGGTGGGGGATTCGCGGTCGGGTATGCTGGGCCATCGCGAGACGGCTTAATGAGGCCCTGGAAGTTTGTTAGCATCTATAACAAGATTCCGCTCGATGGATCGAGTGCATGGTCAAACCTACTGCTGGTGGACCATCAGATCGCGGGCCCTTGGGAGCATTCGGGACGGAGGAAGCATTCTAGAGTTTGGTTAACGTTTGGTTGTAGTAAGTGAAGGACAGTGACTTACCCCTTGTGGACTTCCTTTTGGACCTTTCGGTACATGCACTGGTCCAGAGAGACCTGGATGGCCGGTGGCTCGGGGCTTGGGAGCCTGACCAGCTGGTCTAGAGAGACTTGAAGGGCCGGTATTCCGTGGACAGGTGGGGGCATGGGATGGAGCATTAGATTGTCCAATTCGAGGACGTTGCGCGTTGGGTGCATCGGGGACAGAATCCCCCCGCTTTCGCTTTGCACCTTCAAGAGGTTGCGAAGGATTCGCAGTAGTAGCCTGGACAACTGGGACTTTCGGGTTGTGCCCTCCCAGCTGATTCTCTCGCCGACGATCGTCCTTTTCCTTTCTTTGTTGCTGGAGCCTGTACTCATCCCTAGACATGCGATCCCGTTCAAACTTCGAGAGACGTGTCACGGACTTGCAGCTGCTGGACGAATGCCCAATCTGGCCGCATTCAAGGCAGAGTTCGGCAGTACAGAAGACTTTGGTGTGACCGGCTCCTTTGCACCGATAGCAGACCCCGCGTGCATGTTCCCTTGCCTCGTTATTGTCGCAATTGTGAGTAAAATGATCCGCGCTTCCGCATAGTCCACACATCTTAGTTGTGTCCAAGCCCGAACCTCCTCCAGAAGGCCCGTCGGGTGGTGGCGCTGGGGGTGTACCGCGGCGAGAAACGGACACAGAAACGGAACGAGAGTCAAGGCCAATGGACGCCGACGAAGACCGAGAGATGGAGGGCACGGAGGGCGCTTTGTCGGGAGTATTGGATCTAGCTGTATCGGTTTGAGGTACATCGGAGATTTTTTCAGTATCAAGATCAATCATCTCGACCTCTTTGTAACCGGTAAACTGCGGCCTCTCCAACATCTTCATGATGTTACCCTCGGTGTAGATGTTCCGCTCTCGCGCATTCCGGACGAGGCGATTCCAGAATTGGCCCTGGATCAAAGCTTGCGAGTTACCCAGAACCCAGAGCGATGACTTGGCACGTGTAAGACCAACGTTCATACGTCGGACGTCAGCCAAGAAACCGATACCTTTGTTGGATGCTCGAACACAGGAGAAGATGATGACCTCACTTTCTCTACCCTGGAAAGCATCGGTCGTATTGAAGTCAACCTTTTTCAGAATGTCTTCTCCGTATCGGTAGACGAATTGAGTCTTCATCTCTCTGAGTTGGCCCTTGTAAGGAGTAATGATGCCAACCTTGCCGGCAAAGTCGTATTCTTTGACATCTGTGATTAAACGCTCGTAGAGTTGCATCGCGACTTGTAACTCTGCTAAATTGACCAAAGAGCGGCCCTTTGGCACACTTGACTGCATGCCTTGAACGTCAAAGAATCGGTAGGGGCTGAGAAGTTCGCTCTGGTGCCAAGGGCGACGGCGGAGCTTAGCCATGTCCGGTCCATCCTGCAGCTTACCTTCGTAGAACGTATCACTGGGGAAAGCGCTGATTTCAGGATGCATACGGTACTGAATGTCGAGCAAGTGAACGTCTCTGGGGTGGTTCTGCTGCATCCGAACGAACAAACTCTGTTCGTACTGGAACCGTGATGCCATCTTTGATAGGACAGTTGGAGGTAGCTGCTTGGGATCACCGACAAGCACACACTTTGAGCAGCCGTATTTGAGGGGAATCAGAGCGCTGAGTTCAATACACTGAGCTGCCTCATCAATGATGACCGTCTCGAACTCGACGTTCATACCCTGGAAGATTTCATGACCAGAGCCGCTTAGAGTGGTGCAGATGACATGAGAGCCATTGATAATCTCTTCTTGAATGCGCCGTTTATGCATATCAGCATTGCGGGCCAAAGTATGGTTCTGATCGCGAGCCTTATCAATGGACGTGCTCAGCTGAGATCGTTTCTTCTTCATCAGTTCAAACTCGCGCTCGAGCTCTTCTGGAGGAGGTAATCCCTTTGCTCTTGCTTCATCAAGACGTGAACGAAGCTCTTTAAACGTGGTATCGGTTTGCTTATGCTCTTCGTACAGCTTCTGCATGTCGACACCGTTCCCTTTACTGGGGTCCTGGTTCAGACGGGCATTGACCACCTCATCGAGTGTGACATCCAGGACCTTAGTGTTGATCGCATCACTCCTTCCTAGACGAAGGACATTGACCTTTTCTTGGCGGCCATCGGATGTCTTGACGCCTTCCTTCAATCGCATGACCAACTCGTCCACGGCGGCGTTACTAGGCGCACAAAGCAAAAGCTTTTTGGAAATCGTGTTTCTGGCTGCTGGTCCACCGATGCTGACAGCTTGTTTCCCAAGAACATTGCTGAGGAGACTACCAACAAGTGCGATGATAGTCTTGGTCTTTCCGGAACCTGGCGGACCCTGGATAAGAGTAAATGCATCATTGTCGACAGCCGACTTGATAGCTTTTGCCTGTGCACGATTGATGGTGTAGTTGTCCATAATAGGCTGAAGCCTTGTGTCCGCGTAATTGAGAATGGGGGAAGGCTTGGCGAGAACAATCTCTTCGCATAGATCGTAGTACTGCAAGGCCATGAGAGCACCGTATTCGCGCTCCACAGGGGTCAAGGATGTGATCTTGGCCGCCCAAGCTTCAGTGCCGGGCCCAAAGTTGGCA